ATAAAACCCACAAAAGGCAGAAAAAGAATGGAAGACAAAAAAAAAAATAATACAAAGGACAAGAAATAGAAAACAGTAAAAAAAAATTGTAAATTCAAATGCAACTATATCAAAATTGCTGTGAATGTCAATGGTCAACATACCAATTAAACAACAGAGATTATCAGAGTGGATCAAAAAAAGACATAACTATATGTTATCTATAAGAAGCCTACTTTAAATATAAAGAAGCATATAGACCAAAGTAAAGGATGGCATATGATATGCCATGCTAACACTAATAAAAAGAAAATTGCCAGTGATTAAGAAGGATGGCTTCCAAATAGCTGAACAGGTAGAGGTTCCTGGAGGTGGCGTGTCCAGGAAAGGCACAGAAACTCCACACCCTTTCTCCCATACCTCACTTTGTGCGTCTCTTCATCTGTGATGTCCTTTATAATAAACCAATAAACAACTTGTCAGACTTACAGCCAGCATAGGGACAATGTCAGCTTGCCTCCCCACACCACACTCCTCCTCAAGAGCTGCCTGCCTGCCAGAAATGTGTGTTCTGCCCTATTCCTCCATGCTGGTCAGAAATTCAGGAATGGCTTAGCTGGGTCATCTGACCCAGAGTCTCTCGTAAGGTTGCAATAGCTGAAGTCACCTAAAGGCTTGACTGAGACTGAAGATCAGCTTCCAAGATGTATCATTTTTCTGACTCACAAATTAATCCTGGCTATTGCTAGAGGCTTCAGTTCTTCCCCACTTGGACTTCTCTGTAGGACTGCCCAGTTCCCTTACAATGAAGCAGCTGGCTTCCTCCAGAGTGAGAAATCCAAGAGAGAATGAAGCAGAAGCCACAATTTCTTTATGGCTCAGCCTCAGCAGTCACACTGTCATTTCAATGGTTGCATAGGTCAGTCCTATTCAATGTGACAGGAGATTTGCCAGTGTGAGTGCCAGGAAGCAAGGATCATAGAGAATTGTTTGGAGGCTGACTACTGCAGATGTACAAAAGAGAAAAAAGGTAAATATTCTCAGAAATTTAACAAAAGTCTTGTAAGACATTTATGAAAATATTTTTTAAATTTGTTTAAATACATTAAATAAGTAGATGTTATACAATCTATATAAGTAGATATGTTATAAAATATAAGACTAATATAAAGTGGAGAAACATATCATATAGAAGTTCTCAATATTATGAAGATATCAATTCTCCCTAATTAATCTGTGGGTTTAATGCAATTTCAGTCCAAATCCTAACAGTTTTTGTTTCAGGGGAGCTTTACTAGTTTACTCAAGTTTTCATGAAGGAGCAAAAGGCTGAGAAGATACTACTAGAGAAAAAAAAATGGATAGTGTGTTTTGTGGTAAATATATCAAGCATTACATCAAGTTAAGTTGATTAATATGTATAGTAATGGTACAAGGATAGGCAGAGTTATAGAACAAAATGTGAAACCCAGGCACAGATCCATGCATACAAGAAAATTTGATATAGAACAGAGGTAGCATTGCAGATAAGTGAAGAAAGTAGGATTCTAAATCAGTTCAACATGTATGGAAAACAGTATGGAGATTTCTCAAGAAACTAGAAATAGAACTACCATTTGTTCCGTAATCCCACTCCTAAGTTCCTACCTAAAGAAAAATAAATCATTATATAAAAAAGATACCTGTACTCATGTTCATTGCAGCGCTATGCACAATAGCAAAATCATAGAACCAATATTAGTTCCATCAACGATTGACTGAATAAAGAAAATGTGGTATGCATCATGGAATGAATACTATGCAGACATGAAAAGGATGAAATAATATCCTTTGCAGCAGCATAGTTGGGGCTGAAGAACATCATTCAGAAACAGAACACCAAATACCACATGTCCTCACTTATATGCAGAAGTTAAATAGCCACACAGATGGAAATAATAGACACTGGGGACACTAAGAGGGGAAAGGTAGGAAAAGGGGTTAGGGTTCAGAATTTACCTACTGAGCATAACATTCATTATCTGGAAAATGGATCACCTGAAGCCCAATCTCCACTACTACACAATATGTCCATGTAACAAACATGCCCACATGCCCTCTGAATCTAAAAGAAAAGAAACAGAAAAAGAAAAAAGGAAAGATATGACATAATGATAAAGATGTCAAATCTCCATGAAGACATGATAATTTTAAACATGTATCCACCTAACAACAGAGCTTTGAACTATGTGAGGCAAAAATTGATAAAAGTTGCAAGGAGAGGAGCAATCACTTTGGGTCCCCTCCCACTGTGGGAGCTTTTCTATTCTCTCAATAAATCCTGCTTTCTCAAAAAAAAAAAAAACTGCAAGGAGAAATGAATAAATCTATTATTATGCAAAATTTGATATTTCAACACCCCCTATCAGAAATGGACACATTCAGCAGGCAGAAAATCAGTAAGGACATAATTGAGCTCAACAGCACCATCAATCAATTTGGCATAATTGACAGCAATTGACTATACTATCAAACAAGAGCAGATACATATTCTTTTCAAGCAGATATGGAACATTGACCAAGATTGAAGGAGCAAAAGGCTGAGAAGAAGATTCTACTAAAGAAAAACATGGGCAGTGGGTTTTGTGGTAAATATATCAAGAATTTTATAAAGTTAAGTTGATTAATATGTATGATAATGGTACAGGGATAGGCATTTATAGAACAAAATGTGAAATCCAGGCACAGGATCCATGTATACAAGAAAATTTTATATAGAATAGAGGTGGCATTGCAGATAAGTGGAGAAAGAAACACATCTTTACAAATTTCCTGGGCTATGAAACATGTCTTAACAAATTTCAAAGAATAGATATTATATGCCTGTTCTGAGACCACAATGACATTAAACTAGAAATTGATAACAGAGAGATAGAAAAATCTCAGATTAAACAACACATCTCCAAGTAAAAATGGACCAAACAAGAATTATTTTAATTTATTTTATTTTATTTTAAAGATGTGTGGTACAATTTAGGATTAGGTATACAAGTGGACATTGTACAGGTAAAGTTTGGACCACCATTTGGTCCCCACTTTACCTGGTTTGAGATCAGGTACCCTTATTGATGTTCAAACAAGAATGTTTAAGAGAAAGTTTAACCTCATCTCTACAATAAATCAAAACATTAGCCAGGCATTGTAGCCCACGCCTGTAGTTCCAGCTGCTTGGAAGGCTGAGGTGGAAGGATCACTGGAGCCCAGCAGGTAGAGGCTGCAGTGGCTGGACGCATGCCACTGCACTCCAGTCTGGACGACAGAGTGAGACTCCAACTAAAAAAAAAAAAAAAAAAATTTAACTAAAAAAAATTAAAATAAAATGTATCAAAATGTGTGGGATTCAGCTTAGAGGGAAATTTATAGCACTTAATACATACATTAGAAATGTGAGAATTCTAAAACAAAGAATCTAAGTTCCCAACTTAAAAAACAAGGAAAAAAGAGTAAACTAATTCCAAAGCAAGCAAAATAAAACACGTAATAAAAATTGGAGCAAAAACTAAAGAAATTGAAAGCAGAAAGTCAATAGAGAATATCAACAAAAACAATAGAAAAATCAAAACAGTCTCTTTGAAAAGGTTAATAAAATCAATAAGACTCTATGCAAACTAACCTAAGGAAAAAAAGAGAAGACACAAATTACTAATATCAGAAATTAAAAAGAGGACATCACAAGGGATCTCATAGGTATTAAAAAGATAATGGATAAAAAGTATAAACTCTATGCATACAAATTCAATAAACAAATGAAACAGACCAATTCCTTCAAAGATATAATCTATCAAAACTCACACAGAAGAAATATACAATCTGAGCAGGGCTATAGCCATTAAATAAATTGGTTCTTTAATTAATAACCTTCCAAAACCATAAAGCACCAAGCCCAGATGGATTCACTAGTGAGTTCTACCAAGCATTTATGAAAGAAATTATATCAACTCTCTATCATTTTTTCCAGACTATAAAAGTAGAAACGTTAATTCCTAACCCATTTTATGTGGCCAACATTACTCTAATATCAAAATCAGACAAAGAGATTACAAGAAAACTATGGATCAATGTCTCTCATGAATATCAACACAATATTATTAACAAAACAGTAGCAAAAATTAACAAACTATTAGCAAGGATATATAAAGGAATTATATACCCTGACAAAGTGGGATTTATTCCAGATATGAAAGTGTGACTCAACATCTGATAATCAAGTAATATAATCCATCACATCAACAAGCCAGAGAAGAAAAATTACACAATTGTATCAATGGATTCAGAAAAAAATTTACAAAATTCAAAATCCATTTATGATTTAAAAACTCTCAGCAAACTAGAAATAGAGAGAAATTTCCTCAACTTGATAACAAAATACTACAATAAACCTTCAGTTAACTTTATACTTAATGGTGAGAAATGTGAAGTTTTTCTGCTGAGATCAGGAACATGGAAAGAATGTTCCCTCTCACCACTCCTTTTTAACATATAATACTGGAATCCTAGCTAATGCAGCAACACAAGAAAAGAAAAGGTATACAAGAAAAGCTATACAGTTTGGAAATAAAGAGAACAAATTGTCTTTGTTCACAGATAACATGATTGTGGAGAAAATCCAAAAATATTAACACAAAAAAACCTCTTAGAGCTAATAAGTAATTAAAACAAGATTGCAGGATACAAGGTTAATATGTAAAAGTCAACCATATTCTTATATACCAGTAATGGACAGGTGGAATTTGAAATTAAAAACCCACCGGGCTTGGTGGCTCAGCCTGTAATCCCGCACCTTTGGGAGGCTGAGGTGAGTGGATTGCCTGGCCCCACGGGTTCGAGACACACCTGGGCAACTTGACGAGACCTCATCTCTACAATAAATAAAAAATGAGCTGTGTGTGGTAGTGCGCGCCTGTAGTTCCAGCTACTTGGAAGGTTGAGGTAGAAGGATCGCCGGAGCCCAGGAGGTCAAGGCTGTGGTGGCTGGGAGCGGCTATTGCACTCCAGTCTGGGTGACAGAGTGAGACTCCAACTCTAAAAAAAAAAAAAGAAAGAAAGAAATTAAAAACTCATTAACATTTATAATAGAACCAAAATATTAACTACTTAGTTATAAAATCTAACAAAATGTGCACAAGATATATAAGAGAAATACTACAAAGCCCTGAGGAATGAATCAAAGAACTAAATCAATGAAGAAATATCCCACATAAAGGATAAGAAGTCTCAATACTGTCAAGATGTCAGTTCTTTTCAACTTGATCTAAATATTTAATACAAACCCAATAAAATTCTCAGAAAGTCAAATTCAAAAGTATATAAAAAGAGGCAAAAGACCCATAACAGTCAACTTAATATTGAAGGAGAAGAACAAAGTCAAAGGACTGACAATACCTAACCTCGAGACTTACATAAAGTGACAGTAATCAACATAGTGTGGTATTGGTAAAGAATAGACAAATAGGTCAGTGGAACCCAGAAATAAAGCCTCATAAATATAATCAACTGATCTTCAACAAATGTACAAATGTTGGGAGCCAGCCTTGGAGGCCCGCCTGATTGACAAAGTCCAGGTGCGCTGAGGACCCCCGGCCGCTGACTCAGCAAGTCCAGGCAGCTGAGGCCCTTCTATCTTCTGTCTTTGCCGTTGGTACAGCTGAAGAAATTCTATGCAGTCGTGGAAGAAGAAGATGGCATATTTATGTGAAGTACTCACAGCTAACCTGGAAATGTCATGGTTCATTTTCCCATTTTCCCACTATGCTGCTTGGCCTTTTCTAACATACGCAAGG